GTGTACTCACCTGGGAGTCCCTTGTGCGACTGCCTTTCATAGAGGTGGCAGTAGGGTTTTTAAGTGGAAGAAATATTCTACCTGTCCTCACTGGCACCATGTTGAATCTAGCTTTCACAGGGTTGTCAGTGGACAAAGTAGCTATACAGGTTGTGCCAAAATGGAGTCTAGGGTTTCTCTGTAACTTTTATCCTTAGGCATATGTGGCTGATCGGTCTGATAGCTTATTGTTTGGCCAAATGATTGCCGCAGAGGCCCAGAGCTATATCTCATGCAGTCACTCTATTCCATGGTAACAACTCCCCCAAAATGTTATTCAGAATTATATTTCCTTTTCTATAAAATAGCAGGGTGTAGCGCTTAAAAGTTGATAATCATGATAAAATAAAAGAAACCATACATCGTGTAACATGTCAAGCCTACTCAGCAGCTTATGAACATGATAAAAAACATCAATGTATTAAATGATGAAATTTCTAAAAAACAAGTGACAAAGTGCCATAGTGCAAACGCATATAAATAAGTGTATTGAGTCACTAATCAGTGACTAGCCATGTGCACGGTGTCAGGTATAAGTCCAAATATTAAGGTGCCTAAAGGTCTTCCGGATCCAAATGACTGGTCCAAATGATTGGTGATAAGGAAAAATGTAAAGACTGCGCACTCACCAGATGTGCAATCACACTGCGCATTTAGGGATAAGGGTGTCCCCTTTAAAGGTCTGGTCAGGTCTGGAGCCCCTCTTAAATCAACATCCGCTGCCTATGGATGGCTCGCCTCCTCTATGGATAGTAGGAGCTCAAGGAGCTCAGAAAAAAGGAGGCCAATAGCGTGATACTGTATGAATAGAGGGTGCTTTATTAGCCAGATAGATATACAAATAAATCACTGACCAGTATGGTGATCCAAGATGGCTGCCAGGACCGATATGGAGCCGGCAGTGTGGCGTCCTTGTAGCCCCTCCCTGACGCGTTTCGTGCGATGGCACGTACTCATAGGGGGTCTGCAGACCCCTATGAGTACGTGCCATCGCACAAAACACATCTGGGAGGGGCTACAGCACTAGAACGCCACGCTGCCGGCACCATATCGATGTATTGAGTCACTGATTAGTGACTCAATACACTTATTTATATGTGTTTGCACTGTCACTTTGTCACTTGTTTTTTAGAACTATCATCATTTAATACATTGATGTTTTTTTTATCATGTTCATAAGCTGCTGAGTAGGATTGACATGTTACATGATATATGGTTTCTTTTATCTCATCATGATTATCAACTTTTAAGCGCTACATCCTGCTATTTTATTGTTCATTTTTGGAGGTTTTTGGTACCTTTTGGTGTTTAGCTGCTCACTGACTTTTAGCACTCACTCATTCTTCTTTTGTATTGTTTATTCATATTTCCTTTTCTGGCTGACATGGCTGGTGAGGTTTTGTATTTAATAAATAAATGCACTTCATCATCATGCACCTTTTTTTTGGGTTCACTATACAGTACATTGATTGAGCACTTACTATTTTATTTAAATTTTTTGCTGTGTTCATGCTACCTTGTAACAGTTATATACATAAACTACCGAAAATTGCTAGCCTGTGTCATAATAGCAGTTTAAATTGCCACTATTGTTAAAGGAGAATAAAAAAAATGGTCATAGCACATCAAAACAAACACAATAATGTGGAAATTGAATGCAGACAATCACACAGCCTACACAAATAAAAAGCCAGAAATCATTTTAGGAGTTTGAAATTATAGAGAAAAGCAAACCTCAGGGAAAAGAAAGCAGTAAGATAAGCAAATCTGGATATTGTTGCCCTAGAGACAAAAGAAACCATAACCCACAAATAAAGAGACAAATGGACTGACTGGTTCATGACACTGACATAAAACAGATTTCTTCAGTAGAAGTAATGTCTTATTGTATAACTTAATACAGTATGCAGAAGAAAAGAAAGACAATTATACAGAACAATATAGGGCAACCTACTAAAGCTGTAAAATATGCCTTAAGGGAAATGTTCTGATCCAGATGGGCTGTAAAAAAACCTTTCAAAGCATGGATTCAGATTTATAGATTTCATTCTTATGAGTGGCTATAAACATGGAAAATTATACACAATTAAATTATAATACTGGCTTATACTGTAATTTGTCCATAGCATTCCATTGATGCTTAGGAGCTTAGATAGATAGATAGATAGATAGATAGATAGATAGATAGATAGATAGATAGATAGATAGATATAGATTAATATATAGGGTTGATTTACTACAGCTGGAGAGTGTAAAATCTGGTGCAGCTCTGCATAGAAACCAATCAGCTTCCAGGCTTGTATTACTCAAAGCTTAATTAAACAAGCTGAAGTTAGAAGCTGATTGATTACCATGCAATCCTGCACCAGACTTTGCACTCCACGGTTTTAGTAAATCAACCCCATAGAAACATTAGCAAACATATTGCAGCAACAGAGGATGCAGCTGCTCCTGGACCCACAAGGACTGTCTGTTTCTGGACCCATTGTATATACAATAGAAGTCTGTGGGGTGTTCTGTGCTTGTAAACACATACAATGACTGTTGCTTTAAATTGTTACCATTGGAATTTTCCTCATGCAGGCAGGTTTAAATAAGAGGGCTCTCCAAGCAGCCGACATATTACACATTTAGGGGCATTCACATTTTAGCAATCCATTTCAATGCATTAATCTGTGTTACCTTGCACATTACCATCTGTTGCATTAAAGTGATTCTAGAAGCTTACGTTTTTTTAAAAATAACAAATATGTCTATACTTACCTGCTCTGTGCAGTGGTTGCAGATCCTCTTCTTCTTGGGTTCCCACCAGCACTCCTGGTCCTTCCCTCCTGTCTGGTGCCCCCACACCAAGCAGCTTTCTTTGGGGGCATCCTGAGCATGTGCTCTCCCCAGCTGCTGCTCCGTGTGTCCATTCACACACAGAGCCATGGCAAGGCCCAGGCCCCTCTTCCTCTCTCTTCTGATTGGCTCACTGACTGTGAGTGACAGCAGTGGGATCCGATGGCTCCCAATTCTGTCTCAGCCAATGAGGAGAGGGAGTCCTGGAAAAGCTCCAGTGCACATCGCTGGATCAAGTGAGTTTTGGGGAGGCTGGGAAGGGGGCAGATGCACAGAGAAGGTTTTTTAACGTCATGCATAGAATGCATGAAAGTAAGAATACCTTGAGCCTTTACAACCACTTTAAGTAAGCCTTTTCACTTTTGTTGAGTGTCTGTGGTATACTTCTTTTCCTAAACACAGAATGTCAAAAAAAAGAAAGCCCTTTCACTTTAGACAGACTGCCAATGTACCACAACAAACCAAAAAGCCAACATAATCCTTTTTTAGCAACACAACCCACTACAGTGCACATTAAGGGGTTGATTTACTAAAGACAAATAGAGGCTGATTTACTAAAGCTGGATAATGCAAAATCTGGTGCAGTTCTGCACAGAAACCAATATATTTCTGGGTTTATTTCAAAGCTTAGCTGAACAAGTGGAACTTAGAAGCTGAATGGTTACTATGCACAGTTGGACCAGATTTTGCACTCTCCAGTTTTACTAAACCAACCGCATAGACTGTGCACTTTGCAAGTGCAGTTGCATTCTGCAAGGTCATTTCTCTCCAGAGCTTAGTAAATGAGGTAAAGCTTCACTTTGCTAAAAATACCCAATCACATGCAAGGAAAAAAAAACATGCACATGATTGTATGATGAAAGTCAACATATTGCAATATTTGCCTAGCTTTTGCCAAGAAACAGACCCTTGCTTGTATCAGGGCCAAGAGCTCTTGGTACAGGTAGGGTACTGTGATGTCTTAGCAAGCTATGTACAGCGCCCTGCCAATCTTTCCCACAAATTATGATCTGCCTGCATTGCATAGGGAAGCACAGAGAAATAATGATGACATCACCTGTTCAAAAATAAGGCATGCAATCAAAATGGAAAGGTTTAATTTAAAAATGAAATTGGAGTGTTGATAAGAGGGAAAAATGAGTAACAAGGGATAGCAAAATATTCATAGAACAGCTTAAATGCATGCATAGTCAAAGCAATTATTTTTCACATTACATTGAGTAGAGGAGGGATTGAACCCCCATGTGGGGGTTGGTGCTGTCTGGGGCCCCACTGGAAAGATTCACATTCTGTTTTTGCCCCGGTAACCATGTCATCTTAACAGCAATGGGAAATGCAACAGAAGAGAGAGTGACAACTGTTTAAGAGGGGAATCGCCCTATTTCCTGTTGTGTCTTCAGGTGATGAGGTTCTGGGAAATATCCTAAATGGGAGACATACAGAAAAAATAAACTGGGGGTTATAATAATTATCGCATTTACTGCAACTTTTGTGCATGTTAAAGGTCATGCCCAGCCAGTTTTTTTTTTTTCAGCTAGAGTAGGAAATAAATAAAACCTGACAGTGGTCTGACTAAGTGCTGAATACGCACAGTTAGAACTGTGGTATATGAATTCTCTAAAGAGATCTGGGAACAATTGTGGCAGTCCAAATTCCCAATTTAAACCCTTCAAGCCTTCACCTTGTGGGGCCAATCACACTACATTTTAAACTGTTTTTCAGAAAAATGTCAATTTTTTGTTTTAAGGATTGTTTCACATAAGATTTTCTATTATTAACAGATCTGTAGACTTGCAAATATGTCAATATGATGGGAAAAAAAGAAAAAATATCAGTGTCTTGGATACAGGTTACTTTTCTGAAAATATTAAAAACATTTCACAGCTTCCTATAAACATTTAATTATGTAATATTGTAGACTATATATTATTGTTGACAACCCTTCTATGGCATACATTACAATTTTATTCTTTTCATTCTGTGACTGTTTAGTAAACCTTTAAAACTGTAATTATACCCTGATATTAATATTAAAACGGAGTTCCACTCACCCTGTCAAAAAATAAAAGTCAGCAGCTACAAAAACTGTACCTGCTGACTTAAAAAAACAGCCACTTACCTGTCCTCGGTCCCACGGTGTGTACCCCGCAGCCTGTTTCACCGGCTGTCCTGTATTCCAGGAGGCCGGCATCTTCAGTGTGGGCACCCGCATGTGCAGCTTGTGGCTTCACAGCCGGGTACCCACTGCTGCGCATGTTATAACAAAAAATGGTGAAGCGCTATGCAAATGCAACAAATCAGTGTATATACACACAAATATAGGTGAATAAATATACATTAATAAGCAATAATTAAAACGTGGGACTCCAATCTTTTAAATAATATAGAGTGACGTGCTTAAAACAGAAAACACACTGTGCAAAAACAAGTGCCTGGTCTGCCAATCAAAAATATAAACACACCAGGTTAAATGAAATATATACCCAAAATAGATATATATACATAAATAATATTAACGTGAGACTCCAATCCTTGATATAATACAAAGTGACCCGTGCTTAAAAACAGCAACATACTGTGTAAAAAATGCCTGGTCTGCCAAACAATATATATACACACCAGGTAGAGTGAAATATATACCAAAAATTAGATATCCATTATTAATATATCAAGTGATAGGTGCAACAACACAAATAGAAAAAAATAAATAAACAACAATTGAATAAAATCATTCAGTGTAAACATCGATAGTGACCAGTCCAACAAAAAGTGTGCGTGAGTAGCGCTGCGCTTCATGAATGGTCCTGTAGTCTTCTGGGACCTGTCATGTGTCCCAAAAGACTACAGGGAGGGAGGGAGGGAAGACACCTTCTGCTTCCGATCACCTAGGCGATCGGACCGAAAGTGGGAGCGGGTACCTGTCAAATTCGAGTACCCGCCCCACCCCCCAAAGGTGCCAATCCTTAATGGGGAGTGGGGGAGCAGTCCTTAAAGTGGAACTTCCCCTTTTGGGTGGAGCTCCGCTTTAATAATACCTTAGTCTTAGGCACACATTCTGTTGCCTTATGTGCACACCCATGCTTATGATACAGCAGGCACTTTTCTTTACCGTATGTAAATATGTATTTAAATTTGAATGCCAGTGAGTGACAAAGGATCACAAATGGATATGAGAAAACCACAAGCAATAAAATACAAGACATAGCATGTTCCAAAACCTTGTTTAAAATATAGGAAGATTTAATTCCTTTCACTCTATTATAGACCTTAAAAGCAACTAATGATCTTCAGTTTTACATGCATTTTGTTCTTGCCAATTATTAATATTATAATTGCAAAATATTCAAAAAATATATTGCAGCAAAAAGGCAAAGAAAGTAGAAAACATATTTTAAAGTTTGCCTTTAACAGGCTTCTATTTATATCTTTTCTCTTCCCTTAATTGATGGCCAATGCTAATGCACATGCATGTACACTAGACTCAAATGAAAACAAACATTGTGTTCCCAGTAAAGGAACACAAGAGCTTGCTAGCAGTTGTTGCTAGCAAGCCTCTAATCCTAATAATTCAGGCCCACCGAGTCTACTTCTTTGTAGCATAAAACAATATCTAAATAGTCAAACAACAACTAGGCAATCTATAGAACTGAAAGTAATGCTCCTGACAGATGGGAAACTTCCATGTGAGAAAACACCCTTTAGATTCTGTTCACATCTGGGTGTTTTGTATTGTGGGTGCGATTCTCCATTGAATTGTCGTGAGATAAATCCCTCCGCAATTCAGCAAACTGCATTTCACGAAGCTTACCACCACAAAAGATGCTCTTGCTCCTTTTTGGGCAACAAGTTTTGCTCGATACAGTTTGCCCACAATTGCAACTATATTGCAGTGCGATTTATCACGCGACTATCACGGCAGAATCGCACCAGTGTTTAGGTGCCATGGAAAATAAAAGGCACCTGAACAAGCGTCATGTGATTTATATGTTTTGGAGAATGCTTTGGGATCATGGGCACTGTGATTCTGCCCAGGATACAAAAAACATACATTACAGTATCATGGCAGTACTGGGGTCGTTGGTTCGAATCCCAACCATGGAACCACCTGCCTAGAGTTTGCATGTTCTTCCTGTGCCTGCGTGGGTTTCCTCTGGGTACTCCAGTTTCCTCCCACACTCAAAAGACATGCTGGTAGGTTAATTGGCTCCTGTCAAAATTGGCCCTGGTATGTGTATGGATGAATGTAAGTAAGGGACCTTAGACTGTATGCCCCTTGAGGGTTAGAGACTGATGTGAATGTACAATATATATGTAAAGCGCTGTGTAAATTGATGGTGCTATATAAGTACCTGAAATAAATAAAAATGAATGAATTAATTAAAGGGTATCACAAAGAGTTAAAAAATTAAAGTTCTTAAAAGCGGAGAGTTCCAGTCCCCCCAAAAAAATTTTTCTAAAAGAAGATCCACAATGACATTACAAATAACAATCAGAATTGGAATAATGCAATATTAAAAACATTGAAAATAACTTTGCAAATCGTTCATACTTACCTAGATCTGTGAAGCAGGGAGTCTCCATGATGGTTGTGGGCATCTGAAGCCCGCAGGTCTTTACTTCCTGAATTTGTGCTGCTATCCCAGCATGCAACACTTGGCAATGCTTGGTGCGACGTGTGCAGTACAGGTTGCCATAGCAATGGTGGGGGCAGATGAATCCCGCCTCCATCAGGCAACCTGTACAGCACTTCAATTAGCAGACATGTCCTCCTCTCAGCATGGACTCCGGTAAAATGCACCGTCCATGCATAATTTCCGGTTTCCAAGCCTCGAGAGCACAGGAAACCAAAGGACTCCTGGGATACAGGAAATGACATCCCAGGAGACCTTGCAAATTGCTGATCTACGTCATCGCCTAGGCGGTCGGGACCGGCACTGCAGGCTTACAGAAGATAAAAAGTATGTATATATAAAAAAAAAAAAAAAAATCCAACTTGTGCTTCTTTTCAAAGGCTGGATTGGAACACAGGCTTCTTTAAGTCTATATAGAAGGCAATCCTCTGCAGAGAACCAACCTTATTGTGAATTTCTCGCCAACCATGCTTTATAGTTATGACTGCAAGAAAACAAAATCTGCTATTGGTCTGACAAATATTTAAAAAGTGAATACAATGTAAAAATGGTGGTCTTTGGTGCTGTATACTTTACTATTCTGCACTAAGTACTTTTGCAAGATTGCATAATTGAAAATATGACCCTGATTAAGTAATGTATGCAGCTTTAATATATTTATTATAAACAGGAAATGTTTGGGAAAGTGTATTCATATTAAAGGACTATGTTGTATCTTAATAAGCAGTAAAGTATGATTAATGGCCTGTAGCCTGTGTGCATTTTTCGGCATTTCATCACAGTGTCATTTTTCACAATAATTCATTTGTCTTGACCTTACAACATGCAGGATAGTCTAGCACTGCAAACTAGTTTGAGTAAAGGCCTTTCTTGAATACTTTTAACTATAGGTTGATCTAGTTTATTTCTAATTAGCTTACTTGTGAGCAAAAAATACACATTTATTAAATAGCTTAATTAATATTTAATAATTTAGGAAAATTGATTGGGCTCTTTACCAAAATTCACTCTTAAAATTTGTGGTTCATTAAGTGTTCTTGCATGGCAAGACCACTTACTGTTATCTCACATATATATTCTTATTATTATAGCCAAATTTACCACCCTAACTCCTCCCACAGTTTTTACACTACATAGACAGTAATATATCGAAACATGTGGATTGTTCCCAATTGGTGTGCTATTACTTTGTGGAATGTTTTGGCAAATGGTTCTCGAAATATCGGCGTTTTTGTGGTGAAATTTGTCCCAGAGGAATGAATGGCGGAATGTTCAAAACTAGAGTGGGAGCTGACAAATGCTAGAGTGTGAGCTGAAAAATCAGGACATGATTTCTAAACTGCCATCACTCCCTCATTCTCAAGCCCACCTACACAAATCTTATATCAAAACATTCAGCTATCCTTGCTGCCACTAAAAATTTCCACGGCTAAGCCATAGTCCTGATAGTTTTCACAATATGATCATTTGTGTGCAACTCACGCCGCCCATTGACATTCATTGAAACTCCAATCTAGCCACCTCATATTTGAAGGGCAATTTCTAAACTGCGACTGTGTCTTCATTTTTAATATTGCAGAGACATGTTATGCATCAAAATGTAGGTGTGGGTCTTGTGATTCTCACAATATAAAGCTCTTCAGTGTAGGATTTATCATTTTTAAACTACAACCATTTGAAAATGGCATCCGCCAGTGAAGTGAGCAAGTTGGAGCAGTTTGTTTTTAACCGCTCTTCTTTGCCCTTGCTGTAGAGTGAATTGCCATAGGAACCCAGGTGTGTGAGCAGGCAGCAGAGTGACAAGCCACTCCACCCAGTTACTCCGCCCACTCCAGTTGTAGACTACTGGTGGAGGCAAGAACACTTCACACAATTTCACCAGAAATTGTAGCTTTTCTAGTTTTCATTAATTTACCAGTAATCACATATAGTCCAGTCAAAAAGAAATTATTCATGATCGTGTGTTCCTGGTCTTTTTTTTTCTTTGATCATTAACCAAAAGTGAATATTACTAATTTAATTGTCTGCTTTACAATTAAGGACTTTTGTATAAGGAACCTCAAATACAAATTATGAGCAGGGGAATATATCTCTAACTAAACTGAAATTTTCTTCTGACATTTAAAAAACACTTAACCTACCCCCTAAAACATCCATAAAAAATAATGTTGATCATGGTTTTGCCTGCAATCACATTGCAATTCCTAGCTGATTGCCGATTAATGCATAATTTACCAGGTGCTAAACAGGAAAATTTGCATTTGATAGCAAATATTTTACTCTTCTTGTATATATTTATAGCAGTTTCAGGATGCTTTGGTTTTTATGCTGCCTACTACTGAAACAGTTCTTACTGTTCAAAAAAATCCAAATTCAAAACCTTGTTCTAATGTGCACAGGATTAAGGATCAGTATCAAACAGGGCATTTCTTAAGGATTCAGCCTACCTGGTTAAGGAAAGTTTAGCACTTCTTGTTCAGTATTTATTCATCCATAAATTGAGAAATAGGCAATCCATTCTTGCAATGGTTGTTTCAATAGCAATTCAAGATTTCCAGCCTTCTGGCTAACTTACCAAATTAGATATTCCAGCAAAACACATGGGGTTGATTTACTAAGGACAAAAAATTACGTTGCACTTTGCAAGTGCGGTTGGACTAATTTTTCCCAGGAGCTAAATACATGTAGTAAAGTTCTGCTGGTCTCCATCACCCAGTCATATGCAAGCAAATATGCTGTTTGTTTGTTTTTTCCTTGCACCTGATTCGGTATTCTTTATAATGTGAAGCTTTTTCACATTTACTAAGCTCTGGTGGAAATTAGTGCAACTGCACTTGTAGAGTGCACAGTCTATTTGCCTTTAGTAAATCCACCCCATGCTGTTTTTCTCTCAGACATCAGTCTGGTTTGGTTGCCTGACCGTCTATGCCAGACAGGCCTGGACATGTGCTCCCTGCATGTCTACACACTGAGCCTCACTCATGTCTCTAATCAGACTTTTCTACCTATCTACCCATTCAGAGCCATCAAGCACCCTCTCATTGCCAGTACTGAGTCTTGGGTTATTTACAACCTTCACCATGTGACAAGTGTACTGGCTATGAATATATATATACAGTGAGGAACAGAATTATTTGAACACCCTGTGATTTTGCAAGTTCTCCCACTTTGAAATCATGGAAGGGTCTGAAATTCACATTGTAGGTGCATTCCCACTCTGAGAGACAGAATTTAAAAAAAAAATCAGGAAATCACATTGTATGATTTTTAAAGAATTTATTTGTCTTGCACTACTGAACATAAGTATTTGAACACCTGAGAAAATCAGTGTTAATATTTGGTACAGAAGCCTTTGTTTGCA